TAACAGAAGTTCACCTAATTGCCCTTTTGAGGATTTGTGTGCCGTGAAGGAAAATGGGACGTTAAGATCAACCTGAGCAACTTTTATGCAAGAAATGGAGCAATTTGGTGACGTATTTATAATTTTTTTTGAAATGTGCCCCAATTTTAGCCTTAAAAAGGTTGTCCTCTTGCAGTGTGAGACACACGCGTCTCTGCACAGTGCATATCAGTAAGGACAGGTGTTAAGAAGAGGGATAGAGGGGAAAAAAAAGGAATACACCGTTTAATTTTCATCCTCTGTAATTTTCTAATATCTGTTCAAGTGGTGTGAATTGGTCAGATAACCTCATGGTAAAAAAGTTCTTCCCTTTCCTATTGGTTGCCGCTTTCTACAGAGGGGAAGAAAATGGAATGTAGAAGGTAACTACACAGCCTACTTCTTTTTAAGGGGATTTAAATCGTCTCTCATCCTTCACATCTGCCTTCTGTTCTCTCCCGAAGGGGGTATGCCCATCCTACAGACATTCGTCTTCATTAGTGACTAGATTACGTTCTGACAGCTCCCTACACATTCATGATCCTTTTCTTCCCTTTTTTAGGTTTGAAACAGTCCATTTACTTAGACATTAGGGCCATTTAAAATTGCGTTACCAAGTCAGGAACCTTTAAATAATGGGTTTATTTATCGCACTGACAGATAATCACGTCACCATGGCTATTTTTCTGTCTAGATGGCTTATAAAGTTCCTTATTAAAAAAAAATAAGAATGCTTCTCTCTCCGGTTGGTGTGAAAAGATGCGGGAAATTGGTGACGTAAGGGAAAGGGTGATAAATCTGAGAGGAAGTAAATGAGACCACAAGGTTCTACATCAATTTTCTTTCCTAATTTTCTGTCTATTTGCAGTAAGAACTTATGCCGTGTTATGCAAACAGAACAAACATCTTTTTTCCCTACTTAAAGCGCCATCTTCTGCATTCTCACCTACTTCATAGTTTGAGGGAAGTTTACTACTTATTTGGATTTAAGTAAACTTGTGCCTCATAGAAGCACCATGTCAATTTGTAAAGGTGAAAGCTCTTTTATCGACGCAAAACATAACACATGACGTAAAAATGCAGTTTACGCTAAACCCTACCCTCAAAAAGAAATGTCCCCCAAAAAGAACAAATTTTCGGGCACTACAATTTTTCTCAAACCGAATACAAATTTGCTGATTCCGCTTTTGTAAAATATGCCGTTATCTGAGGCAAAAATTAGACCCTTGGTGTTTTTACCTCACTTTGAATTACCAGCTGTCAATTTCATGCAGGATTGTGAAAAGTCAAACAGAAGCAAAGTTCACTTGGTAATTGTGATGCATATACTGAAAGCGAGGAGGAAGAGGATGGAATATCTGCTCTCCATCTACTCCATAAGTGCAACTCCTTTCACAAATAAGTTCGACGTTACCACCTATGCAATTATGCCTGAATGGTCTCTTATCTAGTAGGGAGATTTCATCCGTAGGTCATAGAAGGTCATGGTCAGAGCCAAAGCAGGAATTGACTTCAGGGCATAAGGAGAGGTGGGCGTGCCTCGGAAGAGTGGGGTGGGTAGTGAGCGGATCGTGCGAGGGATAATCGAGGATAGGCGTTGGATGCAATTTTACATCCCAAGTCATTTAAGACGCATTCACTAAACAGTGCTTTCCCTCCGATTTTTCCTTCGCGCATTTTAAAATTCTCACAAGAAACGAAGAAAACGTTGACAGAATTTGAAGCCCGTTGCCAGTTGTTTTTGGCGTTTGATTGTACATCCTGCATGGAACAGATGGGAGCAGAACAAAGCAAAGGATATCGTACGATTTCTTTACAGCAAAAGTTAGCCGAAATCGTTAATTTCGAGGAGCTAAAAGACTTCACTAATAGAAAAGGAAATGAGCGGTTCTCTAAAGCAATTCCCTTGTAGCTCCTCTTTTCCACTTGAATCTTTCGGGGGACTTTCATCATTTTTACGGCTCAACCGTCGGACCGGACAAGATAAGTAGCTACTTACCCTTCGAAAAAGCAAAATATCATCGATGTTAATAACTACCCTGTCGAATAACCTGTAATTTTGGGGGCATTTCTGATGCAGATCCTTAAAATGGTTTCCTGAACAGTTCAAAGTTTAGTATGATTCAGGAATAAGGCCTTTAAGTCGATACTTTCTACTACTCTTCGTGTCAGGCCCTCTTAAGGAGCGATCGGATTTACCTCGACTCCAGAGCTGGCAGGGTCCAGCGCTTCGTCAGATTTTTTGGGCAAGAGGGTGCAGCCGAAAGCACTATCCAGAAGCGATCTGGACAGCACGACTCCAGAGGTGAAACTTCGGGAAGGCAGATGAGGACAAGCTCGGGAAATCTTCTATTCCTTCTTCCTTTCACCTTTGAAAAAAGAATTGTGTGCTGACTGACTTGTGACATATACTAGCCTCTGCGCTCTAACCTCCGATCTGCTTACCACTGAAATTCCATTGATCATAAGACTAGCATCACATCATCCTCTAAGGGGTCAGACCCCTCCGTGTGAAGGTCAGGAGATGATTACGGCTAAGACTTGTCCACCCAAAACAATCCTATCAGACTTGTTGAAGAAAAATTCTCTCCGAAATTGCCCACAGCGGCCAATCAGCGATGCAAAAATCCGACTCTAGCAAGGTAGTACAGACCACAAGAACTCACAGTGCGAAATTTATCCAAATCAACTTTTTCCTCTAGCTGGAATGGGAGGGGAGAAGCTGCCTCATCGCCCTCCTCCCCTTCATACCTCAAATATCCCTTCCAGTGAGCATCACCCTTTCTAGGCGGACTACCTCATGCAAAGCAGTTAGTGGGTGAATAGAAGTGAAATTCGTATGCTTGTGTCCATTTAAGAAGGAATAATTACTTTTGAGTAAAGACAAATCCTTGATTAAGGCACATCAAGGATTTTTCTACATTTTGTTAATCATTTGTATTTAAGAAACTGCCCTCACTTTATCCAAACACCAAATTAAATATACCTTTCTAAAATATCTAGCGCGTTGACCCAAGCGGTCAGTTAGATCTTCCAAGGGCGTTGTACCTCCACCCAGGGGCGGGGCCTTCAGTTTCGGCTGATCTGTGCCCTGGCAATGCATACCATTCGCTGTACTAATCTGACTTATTACAATCATGAAGAAAACTCAGGACGCTGTGTAGCCTCCTTTTCATCTTGAATGGTCTCATTTCACTTTTCTTCCAATTGCTTCAATTATGCCCAAATGGGATTCAAACAAGTACCAAATTGAATAAAGGTGATACCAAAAATAGAGTCGTTTAAGGATCTCCTATTACTTCTGTACACGGGATTAGCATTCCATATTTTGTGTGGATTATCACCTACACCTTTTTTTCGACGGTAAAGCAGATATAGGCTTTTGTGGAATATCTGAAGGCAGTATTAATTGCCGGATGAACGACGATAAAGGTGTAACTTAAGCTGGAATGTTCGTGAATCAACGAATTACCAACAGCCTGCGATCGGGTCGAAAAAACAGGCAAAAGTATTGTAGACGAATGCCTACGAAACATTTTTGTCTGCTAAAATTCACCGTACTGAGCATTTGTAAGTAGAGTGTCATGATTTGTAAGCAGTTTTACCTGGCAAGTTGAACAGCATATCTTTCGGCCTGAAATGAAGGCCGGCCTTATGTCACAGGCCGGACTTCGTGGAAAGATGGTGTGCTACGTGAGCACGCTTTTGTCACCATTGCCACAGCTACTCAGTGGAGATTGCCAATTCCTATGGGAGCCATCAGTGGGTGAGTTGGCAGCGCCGATTTGTTTTGTCCTACAGCTTCGACCACAACGCTGAGACTTCAGCAAATAACTTAAATAATAGCCCAAAATCGGTGGGCTATCATCTAAAGAGGTCACGACAATCCTGAATATGCCATACTTTTATATATGGGCAAAAATTACTACGTAATGGTGGGAGTTCCTCTTTTATACAGTTGTACACTGGTCACACAAATGAGTGAATTGATGCTTAAAGGGAAAAAATTGCAACAAAAACTGATACCCACGAGCACATCACGGATTGGACCAACCTTGGTGATGCATGGTAGGAGTTTTAACCGTCAGCCATGGACTGTGGTTGGGACACTGTCGTCGAAGTGTAAACAAATCACCAAGCGTGAATATAAACAATTGTTCTGTCCTTAAACTGTCACCCAACACCCCAGAAAATGCAAATCCACTCTTCCCCTCAGAAAGTAAGCTCACCAAGCTCCACCTGTGGTAATAGTTGGAATAAAAATACGGCCTAGGATCTTGCGAAACCCACGGCGGAGCGTACTCCACGCCCACCGACCTTCGGACTGTTAACATTTATCTGAGAAAATGGAACGAAATAATTCAAACCTTTTACTCGCCTATGCGATAATATGACGAAAAGCGTGTTTGATAAATTTTATTCGGCCGAACCGTCCATGTTAGAGAAAGAAGCCTAAGCATTAATGCCACCATTGACCGTTCATTTCCTAACCGTTCTACCAATCACGTTGTGAGAAATCTAGGCGCTTGATTTAAATCGTCAAATCAGCTTGGGGAGGTCTGTATACCTTGAATTTGACACCTACCGTGGCTGCAGATAAACTACAGATGAATCTCCAGATGCACTACCTTGGTGTCCTTATCTCCCTAGGATTACTTACCACCTGCGCAGTTAGTCTCACCTCCTATGAACGAAGTGAGTGATTAGATATTGTCAAGCCATAATTTGAGTTAAATGCCGTTTTACATTTTGCTCAGAACTAAATAGAAAAGCCGGTCTGATGAAGGTACCATGCGTCTGGAGGCCTAGATACCACTTGCAAAATGTCAGGGAACGGATTATCCTAATCTAAAATAGGTTATGTAGAATACTTTTTAAAAGGGGTTTTGTTGTATTAAAGTACCAAAAAAGTGGATACTAAATCTTTCATTTTAATTTACTTCATGGTGTTTTACAAAAGCTGAATTAAATATTCAGTTGGGAAGTCTAATTTTATGCCATCATTGCGTGCCTTAAAATTAAATTAGTGGTTTACTAAAAAAATTTAGTTTTATTAAAAACAATAGGGTGTTTAAGTTTGTGCATAAATTATTCGGAATCTCGTCTGGAAGTTCAATATTAATTGAGACATTGCACAACTACTTTGAGTCCATTTTATCAGAAAATGGAGTCTTCCGTGTCGGTAGGAGTCGCGTGATGGGAAATTTTTGCATGAGTAAAAATGATTGACAGAAGGTACTGCAGCTATTTTCTCCTCTAGAAGTGATTTGTGGTTTTGGCCAAACATGTAAACATAACCCATAAAATTGTCTTAAGCATTCAAGGAAAACGGTCAGGAAATATCGAAAATAGAGCTATTTAGAAATCACGCCGGTTCATACGTCAAATTTTTCGATCCATTGTATTATTCAGTGTTCATTATTCTCCATAACGTTTGTAAAATTCAAATAATGCAAAGTCTCTCAAATGATAGGCTTTATGACTAAGCGCTTCAAAAATAATAAAGCAAATAACCTGGAGGCGTTAAAAGTGGCCTTTTTAGTTTTTGTAGTTATTAATATTAGCCTATTTTGTTCATACAAGTGCTACCACAGTAATGCAGTGGAACTAAATTAAACAATGAAAAAAAAATCGGTTCCTTGAAGCTGCTGCAATTCCAAAAAATGCACTGCTTCTGTAATTTTTTTGCGCCAATACAGTTCTTATATCGTAAAAATTAATGTGCAACATTAACTCAGGTTATTTTTTATTGCTGTTTTGCACAAGACTATGGATGGTAAGAAGTCCGGTCAAGTAACAAAATTCTGGCCTACATCAGAGTAATCCATTCGCATAATAGGAATACACCTTATCCAAAAAATTAGCCATCAATGCTTGGTGGAATTGACGGACCGTCGCGTTTCAAGATGGAAGCATGAGTCGCGAAGGAGGGATAGCTCGTGCATTTGCAAGTGCATTAGAAGAAACATCAAGTCTGTAAAGATCACCCTTATTGATATGCGCGCCTTCTCTGGGGTCGTGCGCAGGCATTCTGCTGTTTCGGCCGCATTGATGATAAGGAATGCAGCTTCCTGGTAGTAGTAGATCTGTCAGGAAAAAATGTTAAGGAGGCAGTGGTGTTCTTCAAGGTGAATATTTTTAAAGCGTCACTCGCCTTTTGACGCTAGAACTCTCTAAAGTGGGATGCAAACTCGATCTCCTCTTATCGTCACTTATCGCGCACTTTGGCCAAATTAGGGTGCAACGAGTCGGCGCGTATTTTAGCCATTTACATCCAATATCCTCCTCTCTGGAAAAATGTTTTCATTCCATTTCGATGTTTTGTACTGTTCAGATCTTCCCTGAAGTAGTATTAATCGGTCTCATCGAGAACAATTCTTCATTTTTAGCGTGAAGAACCACCGAGAGTCTAAGGCCGTCGCCGGGTGGTTCTCTCACTAGGTGAAAGTTGGCGTGTTTTGACGTGCACTCAAACCAAAGAATGCACCCATCCATTTTGTTGCCATTAATTTTCGCTAAGATGCAATTATTTCGCTAAAAAGTGTAATAACTTCCCACCTCACAATGCTACTGAATCTGGATATCAGTAGGGGCTTATTTGTGTCCTTATTTCTGAGTGGATAAATCACTTAAAAAATCGAAGTATGTGATTACAGATAGGAAGGACTACCTTTTAACGCTTTTGCACATTTACATTGTAAAATTGCAAGTAGGTTAAAGTGCATAGGTTTGCATATTAAATGAGCCTTTAGTGTGTTACTCACATTGTTTTATAAGCCAATCAAAAAGCACCAACTATTCTTCTTTATCCCTTAAGTAAAGTACTAAAGCACAGTTTTTTGGAAGGTTCAGTGATTTTTAACTGCTCCTGTGCAATAAATTCTCCCATTTTTTCACTCTTACCCAAACCTCGAGGGGGAAAGTAAGGGGCCATGGACTAAGTAAGGCGGAAGTGCCAACAGTGTGTGACTTTTTCCATTGCCAAAATTCACGAAGTAAATGCACCCACTTCTGTCTGCAAAGGTTTTACGCCCTACAGCAACAATCTCAGTTGCTATGTTTGTGAGCCGGGATCGATGAACTTGACCAATAGGACGTACGTTCAATGGAAGATTGAGAACATGAGGTGCGAGGAGCCGACGGAGGATCTCCTTCAACTGTGGTCAGTTTTTATCATAAAAATAGCAGAAAATGCACTTTTTTGGGGATGGATTTATTTTTCCGCCTTTTTCACTTCAAATTCATTAAAAAGCTTCCTCATGCGAGTTTTTTGTGGTAATTGTACCCCCAACGGTTATCTGAAGCCAAGAGAAGTCATAATGCTAGGATAGAAAGTGTCCTGCCGACGTATAGAAGGGCTGTGCGGCTACTGGCATGGCTCGGATGCTGAGAAGCCCGGCACAAGCACGGTGGCCGAGCCTTAAACCCTGAAGAAACCAAAATTTGGAGTGAAACAAATGACCAAGGGGGGGATAAACCTTCTTCTTTAAATCACTGGAGTGCTGCATCTTGAACAACCTGCCTTTGACGATGGCTTAGCCGATCAAAGAGGTCACCTGGTTTTTTGAAATGGTCCACCGCAATTACCTGTTGCGATTGTTTATATTTATCCATCACAAAACCCCGGGATATACGTCATTCTCTCAGTACAATGGTCTTCACGGCCGCTCTCTTCTACCTCTCTTGCGTCATGAAGTAAGGGGGGGAAGACCTAAGCTTGTCTGCTTAGAGAGTTACTTTTACTTCGACTTCTAAGCACCAGGAAACTGTCTTCAAATCCTCTTGTTGGGTATTTAAAGAAAATGATGTGGTAAAACGAATTATCTGGAAATGAGTTAAACTATTTGCTTTCGACGACCCGTGGTTTTCATCTTAACAAATTATATATCATCACCGAAACATGTCAGAGCTCTGGAATTGTTCTTTCTGCTATAACCGGGATGGAAAGCAAGCATATGAGCTCATGGTTTATCAGCCCGATCTTCGCCTCTTTCATGTGCTACTGACCGACGGACGGACAGAGGATTAATGTACTTTTTGTAGCATCCGAAATTGTCCTCCTTTATCCCCAAGCTATGCGATTACTATCGTCACACTTCTAAGGACCAAATCACCTCATCACCTGCTTCATGGACTAAAGACGAGGTTGCTCACTAGGAGGCTTCCATCTGCTCACGATTTAATGGCAACTGCGGCTTGAAGCTGTGTACTCGACACACTCGAACGTACACAAGTAACACTTATGTTTGTGGAACAACCAAGCAATTCACGAGTAGCTTTGCTCTTTCGTTATGATGCAGAGGAGTTTCTGCCTCACTCTCATCCTCAGTCTCCTTAGATCTCTGATCCTAGGCTTTCTCGGCTCAGCTAATTTCGCGTGAAAGGGAACAGATGATTGAGAAATAAAAATTGGCCCCTAATGGGGGTTGTTGGAGCTAGGGGAGTGTGTTTTGTTGTTTCTCAAGGCAAAATGTCATCCACAGTAGGGCCAAAGATAATTTAAACAGCAAATACAGGAAAATTGGGTCAACACAGGAAGTGAACACAGACACGGTGCTCTGATTGAGCCCACATTATCTAGAAAATGTACTCGAAGACCTGTATCTTATTTGCTTCGAATCAAATCCCAACAGCATCTGTCCCCACAAGTAGCAGGGAGGCAAAACTAAAGACAGCAAAACTATCGGTGGAGTAAGCGGGGGTGGCAGCACCAGTGGTGAAAATTTGGTTATGTGAAACGGTGGATCACCAGATGGAGTTAGAGGCGGTGGAAGTCACACCTGTAAAGCTGGCTATCAACGCAGTGGAGGCAGAAACAACACAAGCGGACATATTTTTTGGCCTTTTTAACTGCCACTAGCAAAGCCTACTTTTGTTTCTTACTGAATTATTTTAAGTAGCAACTCCAAACACAGCAGCCTATCCTCTACAAAATCAGATTTGTATTGCAGAAGAAGCTTCCTTTTGCGGCCCAACAAAAGTAACACATGAATGGCAAACTTAAGATTAGATGGTACAGAATCAGATTCTTACTAGCTAGCATAATTCAAATAAAAATTTTACCCACTAACCGGAAAACTTACATTTCCCGAAATAATCTCCAAATTTTTATTCCCTTTTGCTTATTTTTCTTAGCGAGGAGACGGAAATATTTAAACCACGAGGTTGTGGGAAACTCGTTACAAAGTCCTATCAGCAGATCAATTTCGGTGGAGAAAGAGGTTTGTTTTCATTTCGTAGATACATTACAGCGCTTGACTTAAAATAACCTCCAAAGCTTGGAACAAAGGAGCAAAAACAGAAGCTCTAGTGTCAAACACTAGACTTGTGCATTTTTGGAGCACTCTTTTAAACTACTTTTGTAATTTTAAGTCCTTTTCGCCACTACTGCTACCTTACCTCATCGGGTGACCAAAAAGACTTTAGTAGTTCCCAAATTTGCTCGCCGTAGTGCTTACACTACTTATTTCCTCAGATTTCAATGGAATTTTTCACTTAGGCACGGTGTTCACACAAAGCGGATACAAAGACTGTTTTTTTTTCTCTAAAAAGTTTGTTGATTGTAGAGGTCAAATTAGTGCGTCGCTTCTGTGCCAGTTCTGGAATGAATCTCGACGAGCAGAAGTGTGTGATGACGATGTCGCAAGGCCGTTGGACGGAGATGTGCGTGTGTGGAGGTGAAGCGTGCAACGGCGTAGGTCACGCAGCCGCCTCATTTCTCTCCATCGTCAGTCCCCTCCTCCTCCTCCCCCTTCTCCCCCTCGTACACATCGCATAACTCCTTCCTGTCAAGCATTCATCATACACGCATCCCCCTTCCATCCTCTTCCCGTCCATCCCTCCATTTATCTATCAATTTACCCACTGATCAACTGTTGCATCCAATGTCTTGTGATTTCTGAGCCTATTTTGCTATAGCTACCTTAATAGCTTTGATTTTGACCTATTTTAGCTATATTAAGGTCCCATTTGATTGTACTTCCTCCCTTTAGACATGAAACCTTTCCACCTAAGAGTCTTTGACTGCAAAATGGAAGAAGGTGCCAAAACTCGACTTGATTTTGTTTTGTGTTGGAAGTCTGACGCGTCATTTTAATAACATCAAGAAAATACTCTGCTTGATCGTCAGCGGGCTTCGGGGAGAAAGGTAACATCAAGCTAAGGGCGAATGAAGCGCAAGTTTCTGCAAAACTTTGTTTTAAACGCATATTTGAATTCCTGGACCCTTTAGTCCCTGTGAGTTTTATGTCCCCATCAGCATTTCCGGACGATTGTGGGGGTATAGCGCGGCGGTGGTAAGTGACCTCTATCGAACTGAACGGAAATTTCGGAGACGCGACTGGTTACAGCAAAAGTAGAGATGCATTGAGGGTTAATAAGTCTGGGAGGACTGACAATCAAGGGTTTAGTGAGGTCAGGCCCACGCTTGGCAATCCCTATGGCCTCGGGTTTTGCGAGGAGGTAATTAATAACTTAAGGGCATTGATAATTCCCAGTGGATTGCTGCCACAATGTCCGGGTGGTTTTAAAGGTTAAATGGGGCATATTTATGATGTCCAGGCAACCGTGAAATGCTTCCCGATGGAAGGACTTAGGAATGGCGAGTGTCGCTTGAGGTGCTCCCCCCCATCATAGGGCGTTGTGCAGCCTTGAGCAGAAAAAAACTCACTAAACCCAACTTCCGTGCACGATGCAAATCATAGATGCGATGGAGTCTGTGAAATGTATTACCAACGTTGGATTCAAGGAGGTGCTCATCTCCGCAAAAACCCAACGACCGCCATTCCCAACTTGAAATTGTTTTGAAAACATTAATTGAACAGCACCTGCCTACGCATAAGGGAGACCATATATAGCGGGATAAGAGAGGGTTTCTTAGGCCTCGTGGTTCTGCACTTCCGTTTCGACGATCTAGACTTTCGGTTAGGCTCCAAAGCCTCCCAGCCCCTCTGGACGTCCCAGGAGAACCATTGTCACTTATTGTACACTTAAATAAACCTGATGAAGTCACCTACCAATTCATAATCATAAATTATTTCCAAATAGACATCTCCAAGGTGGTATTTAGTGTCTTTTAAGAAGTCAGTGTAAAATTATTTAATATTTGATTTTTAAATATGTTTGATGGACAAATTCAAAAAAATTAAAAAAATATGATAAAATAGAGGTTCTAAAATTTGGACAGAACTAATTTTACCGAGCAGGGTGCAAAAGTGGTTTTCTCAAAAAAATTCTCTGCATTTACTTCATCATATGTACCATCTTTACTACAAACCTTTCCCGACAAAATGACTGTGAAGTGGCACATGCTACTTATTATTTTTCAGCAGCGACGTACACCGCCATCAAGTCTGTTCAAATGGATTTTTATGGATTACAGTTGGAAAGTACAGAAGGTATCTTGAGATATTTGCTAGTTAAAATAATCGTCACTACTCCATAGCGTCCCTTCAAAAGGAGCCCCAATCTTGCCGGATCAGAGTCCTGAAAAATATCACTTGAAAGAGAAGAAATTCCGGTATGTCGCTTTACTTCTGAACACTTTACTTCGTGCATGACCGTCTAATGCAGGAAAGCAAAGGTGATCGTTATCACAGCAGGCAACTATGCCTTTTGGAGTGCGGATGATTTTAGCACTCGTCCTACACTACTACTTGGATTTGAGATTTGATAAATGCGATGCATTGTCGAGTGATTCAACACAAGAATTGCACATCTTTATCAACATTTTGCAGCTACGCTAATCCGTTACACCTTTCTTCTACGTCAGACTAGTTTTTTTTCTTTAAATACCACAACTTCGGAATCGGATTAAAATCGGTTTGTGAAGCAGGCCAGTTCGAGTCACGTCAGGCTCCCGGCGCCTGACAACTGACGGGCTTGAATATACTTGTAGCAAATAGTCTTGGGATCTTACAAAATACAAAATGATCTGGAAATTGTTTAAATATGCCTTTGTTTTATTTAGGACCTTTTGGCTAAATTCGTGGCAGTGTTTGCCTTCCTCGACCGCATCATCTTGGGGGTGGCTAAGTGGAGCACGTTACTGTCATTCTACGGCTGAGATGGAAATGGAAACAGGGGCACATTCAACCACACGGACTTATTAATCTCCGCCACCTGTTCCTCTTGCGTGTCTGGAGCCGTTTGAGTCTTCTGGTAGGGCAACTGAATCTCCCGCCTTGGAGGATGACATGTTACTGTGGTTGCCTGTCCTCTCAAAGGGGCCCTTACCAACGACCACCGATGAGTTGACTTTTTTATGTCCGCCCCCACCAGGCACCGCATCCCATTCCATCAACGCGACAATTTTTACTTCCACGCCACTTTTGGCCAAAAAAGGAGTAGAAGTAAACTTAAAGTCGGAAAAAACGAGAGGCTGTTTTTTTCGGACGTTGTTTTAAATGACCCCTTTGAAAACTGCCTCAGGGTGGGGGTTCAAATTCAGTGCAATCTATGAATAAATTATGTCGGTCTTAGAAATAAAAATAGACAGCATAAAATTCTTGTACTTTTTAACTGGAAAATTTACCTCCAAAACTGTAAAACAATTTAAGAAAAGAACAATAAAGGGGTACGAAGATTAATCGTTTGATAAGGGCACTTAATTTTTCCGCCACAAGCTTTATTTTTCTGATCAACCTTTTAAAAATCAAATTTTTTTAATTTAAAGAATTTATGGATCGAAAATTATTTGGTGCTAGATCCAATTGCATGGCGTGTCTTGGCCGAATGTGTCCATTTATGGCTTTAGTCACGGAAGGTGGGTCAGGCCATGATAAGCCAGACTGTATGGGGTCAGATCAGGCCACATCGGACTAAACCGGACCAGACCAGACCACTTGGAGAGGTCCTTTTTAATTACCTCAGTGAATTCTTAATGAATAAATTCCTGATTTTTTTCCTTCTTTTTGACAAGAATGTCTTTCTTAATAACCCAAAGGTCAAGCGGGTGGTTAAGTTGGCTTGATAGGTTATTTACCGAAGAAGAGGACAGTAAACGAGTCGGATGATTGTAAATGGATTGTTAAAATTTTACGCCTTTCCCAATGGGAACAAGCAAGTTAGGATTCCCCTTTACCGCTGGAGTGCTCTGTTGCTAGATTCCCAAGACTTGACCGTCGGTGCCTCCGTTTCTAGTTCACTTCACCTCTACCGTCCCAACTGCTGTTGCCACTGTGAACGAGAGGTGATAACAATCACTTAGGTATGAAAACGAGGTCAAGGATGAGGCGAAATCTTGCTGCCATCTAAAACAAAGTACAAATCTTCTCACAAGTAGGCTGTGTGACAGGCGATATGAGGTCATGCCTTGCCTGGTGGGGAGGAGGGAGTGGGGGTTTTTTCCACAACCTGATGCATGCATCATTGGTTGCTTCCTTTTCAAAGGGGTTTCACTGATTTAGGTCATTTGATTAGAAACGTTGCTGTTGCCTGTCATCCCCACCTCCCCGAAACCCTATAAACTAAGACATAGATGAAAAACTTCTCTCTTTAGTAGATCCGACTTGTTAAAGGTTGGTGAATGGAGAGAGGCTTAAATCACACCCAATACACATTTTTTGCACTGCACCATCTCAAAATGCTGCATTACAAAACCAACAAGAAGCCACGTCACTTTTGAGTCGACTTAAATCATTTCAGTAGGCTCTACCGACAACCACATCAACATTTTTAAGTAGTTAATTTAAGCAATAAAACAAGCTCAAAATCGCCTCATTTACTTTTATTTTGTTAATATTTGCCTCTGGAAATGCACATTTAATTTTCATGTTTAAAATTGACTTATTCCTAATCCAGTCCTTCGTTCAGTCATGCTTTTAAGGCTCCTGTGCAAAAGCACACAAGAACAAAGTCGGCGCGTTTCTAAAGCATTCGTTTTTTAATCTATCACTTTACTTGCCCATAGGATGTCATTTCTCTATAACTTCCGCTCGTGACCGCAGGGCTCCGTAAAAGGTCACGGCACACTCGAACTCCACGAAGCCTTCCTTTTATTCACCAGAGGAGAAAACCGACCCCCCTCCACGCCCCTCTACCAAATTAAGGGATTTTGAGGATTTAGAGGGTGATATCACCCCACAAAATCCAGTGCATTGCAAAAGACCGCACCTTCTAATTGACGAGCTTTGGGGAAGGTGGTTTTAGCCCTGGAGGAGACATTCCAGGGGACAATGTGAAAGCGCCAATTCACTCACTATTGCCTGACACACGTGGAGCTCGGGGACCCAAGTAAAAGAAGTGAAAGCGGAGTTCTGGGTACATCAAAAGCTTTTACTACCTTTCTTGTCCAAACCGTAGGAGAGGGAGGTATATGCAAGCTTAAGATTTCTTCCGGCGTAGGAATTAACTGCTCCCAGAGCCTGGATTACATGGTGCGTTTTGATGACTTCCAAAACTGGGATAAAGACAAAAGAAGGAAAGGGAGAAGAGGAAGGAAAAGGAGAGGAAGAAGAGGAAAAACAGGAACTATTAGAAAGTACAAGCTTTCCCTCCTTCAAAACGAATTGCAACACATCGTGACTGCTGACTGGTAGTGAATTTTTCTCCCTTCTATAAATTGTGCCTCTTTTGGAGCTGTAATCAATTCTTTTGATGTTTCTTCCATTTTCATAATTAATTAGTGGGATTTTTTATCGGAAAAAGCACTTACCTTTGGGTACTTACTATTCGCTTAATTAACTGGTCAAACGAGGGACATTTCCCTTCTGCCGTGATTTCGCCACTTCTCTCCTCGCGGTATAACCTTTCTTCTTCTTCATCTGCACACTAATTATAAAGCATTCTTTTCGGGCAGGACTTTAAAAGTTATGTCTAACCTTAATTGATTGCCCCTGAAGTGCTCGGCTTTTCCTCTGTAAAACCAGATGTTTACATCAAAACGGGACCTTTTATGGAAGGACTGCTTGTAGCATCATGTCAAATCTCCGATGTGTATGCTTTGCGTGGGCCAGTCACGATACCCCTAATGCAGAGTGAACAGGAAATCTACCCATGCATGAAACTTTAATCAGAGATGTCAGACATTTGACACAGTTTGGGTGGGTAAACATCCCTACCTTCCCCAGTTTATAGTAGTCAGTCGGTTAAAGTGTGTAGCTCCCTCCCGGGTGTCTGTCCTGCATGTGACCTTGCGATAGAGCCAAATCGTTCCAGCGGTCAAATCGAACAACTTTATTTACTAGTGTTTAGCCCCCAGTAGGTAGGCAAATCCACCCTAAAACGGCTCATTGGAAGCTTTTTTCGGTGATGGTCAAACACTAGGCTCGACGTCAAACAAAGGGCAAATATTACTTTCCCAGTCGCAGAACCGCTGGATGGTCCAGATACCTGAGACGCTAGCATTAGGCGGTTAAATATATGACACCGGTTTAATGTAAATGACAAGGGATTTCCCATCTTCACCTTCCATTCCTCTGGAGGTGTGCACGAGATAGGTGAAAGCTTGGATGTATAGTTATTACTACGCCTGCGGACATGCGCGTTAGTGGAGGTACAGACAGGCGGACGGGCAGGCGAGGAGGCAAAGAGAGGTGGACAGACGAGCGAGCATTTAGCGGCTTAACGGGTCCCATTTTCACATTCCGGCGCAGATACACACACACAAGCACACTTAGTGAGAGACAGTTGCATCGTAATACCACGCCAGAGGCTGCGTCAATGCTGTACGACATTCAAGGACCTCAACACCTCAAATTGCCGTTTCGAAGCACGAGAACCCCGTCTCCACCGCGTCGACATAGACACATTTCCCCCACCACCGGATGCAACACCTCTTCGGTGTCGAAGTCTGCTCGCCTTGTCTCGGCCATTCAGATGGGGCATACTTGTTGCCTTAGGCGTTACATTTTGGATCTCCTCAACGATAACTCGAGCCAGAAGCCCACCTCACCAAGCACTAACTGTGGAAGCAGTATTTTGGATCGAAGAGCCATGCCTCCGAGACCGGACTATGAGTGGATTACTGCAAGAAGACAACTGTACTTCACTCTGCAAGGCAGCACCTGCACAACAGAGTTCGAGCAGACCTCCAGTCCACTGATTTGGGCTGTGGATTGTCGAGAGTGGTCGTGTCTACGACTAATGTGTACCATTCAAGCGATAGAGCAGGAGGAAGGGGAGGATCCTACAAAGGAGACTTTCCAGGGAGCTGTATACAATCCCAGTCAGCCACAACCCGTTCGACGCAAGATAATCAACTCTTGCACTGGAAGATTCACACATTCGCCGTGTGCCTCACAGACGTGTGTGTGCTGCACACCAGAAAGCCATCGCAGGAAATCTGGCGAATTGGACCTAATTCAACATGACGATTTTCCAGACTCACTGCGGCAGCGACTTCGTCCATTTGCCAACGTGATGCTCAGTGTATCCTTCTCGAATCTCCACAATACTAGAAGTAGCTGCACCATCAGCAACGGCAGTGATGTCTCCAGTCCTGTAACTGGAAGTTTTTTGGACATACGATCCTGGAAATCTGCTCAATCTAGTCCACGTCGAGACATCTCTCCCTCAAATCGATCTCCACATTCCACACACATCAGAGGGGTTAATTCGGTGGTACTCATCGGTTGTCCAAATGCCAACGAGCATTCATCTCAACATCGAAAACGTCCCACGCCATACCGAACATTCTGGGTGCGTGGTTCGTACACCTATCAGTCGATACTGGATTACTTCTTTGCTACAGGATATGAAATTGTTGGTACACACTGTCTCCTGCGTCAGGCTTCACACATGGATTGTGAACACTGTAGACAGGATGCAGACTACTCTGACTACCCAAATTATCCCACTAGTCCACTGGATCCTCGAAATGAGATCTTCTTTGAGCACTTCAGCCAGTTGGAACGTATGCTTCAGTCTTCAGGAGTTTCAGCCAACCGTCTCGACTCTGTCATGGCCTTCAACGCCTTGGCAATAAGTGCTGGACGTCGGCTAGCAGGGTGGTGCTGCCACGGAGCTGAGGGTGATCCAACAATAGGTGCAGATCTTGAAGAACCCCTAATAGAATGGCGAATTCTAGCTACGTTGATAGATCATGGATTGGATGAATTTGAGTGGATGGAATTTCTTTCACCTCAACAGAATTTCATCGGACATGCGTTGTGCGTTCTTGCCTGGCCGATGCATGGATGGAGTCGGACAGAAGCAGCTACTTTGTCTAGTTGTGTATCCAAAAAGAAGACTGGTTCATTTACTGGATTTAGCGGTGGAGGCGGAGGTGGGAGTAGGCGAATTCGAAGGCGATCATCGTCCCCCCTTGGAAGGAATGGTCTCGGTCATCCACTTCCACCAGCACCCCTGGGAGCTGCACTCCGGCGACAGGCGTGCCTCCTTTTGATTAACCTCTGGTCTTTGGGCGCCTTCACTTCGCATCACATAGTTCGCAGGCGGAGTGGAGGCACCATTGGAAATGCAGTCTCGAGCAGTCGAATTTGGGATCCACGGCCAGGGAGTCAGAGAAGTCATAGCTATACTGCTACTATGGAGGGTGGAGACTTAAGACGGATTATGCTCAAGACCATCTCCTCCAAATCGGATCAAATTGGAGTGGTGAGTACTGCCCCTTCCTTTTTTCAGACTTTACACCCGATTGCACCGGCACCTTGTCGCTTTACAGTGTAGTAAAACAACCGCAGCTTGGCCCTTTACACCTAAAAATAGTAAAAATATATTTGCAAATTTCTGTAGAAAAAGGGAAGACAGTAGTTAAAGTTAGCTGCTTAGAATTCACGCAAAAAGAAGATATGATCGCTCTAGGCATAAATAAATAATGAACAAGGACCACAAGAGTACATCGCTCTGGCAACTCCGTGGAGATATGACTATGAATGATTCTCTGGAAAAACTACCGAAAAGTCTCTCTACTTTTTGCCTAGAGCTTAAGCTCTGAGTCGTTAAGCTTGACTTTGCGTTCATCCAGAAAAGAGGTTTTTGATAATGGCGGGTGAGCCTTATCCACCCACCAATCCACTTACTTACCTACTAGAATGTCCACTTTCTAATTCCTCCTGGCTTTGACGTTGGAGGCGGGGAAATTGTAAACACTTCCCTCCCACGGCAAAGGCCATCTCAATCCGATCCGTTCAAGTCACTACCGGAGTTTTGAAGAGGCAAAAAATGGTCACAATGGAGCTCTTTAAAGTTGTGCCATTCTGGATTTAAAACCATTTATTTATCCTCCAGGCAGAGGAAGTCAACTTGTTCAGTTCACTCGCCTTGACCCTAACCAATCGATTGGTGACATATGACACCAACTTCCACAGTGTCAGTTATGGTAATTAGATGAAGTCCAAATGACACGTATTTGTGACAGTAGTGGCGAGTTTAAACATAGTCTTGGGTGGTAATGTTCTGGCACGGGTCAACTCCTCGGATTTTATTAGTAGCGCAGCAGATTTTAAATTTGCACCACCAAAGCTTCCTCCCTGGTGTGGAATAGGTCGAGATGGATGCAGAAAAGCCGAAAAATAACTATCCGGAAGAAAAGTTGATTTAAAGTGTTGTCTTTCTGAGGAAGTATTTTAAGGGTACAGGTAAAAGGGATGCGTTACTCTTTAAAGATTACCCTTGCTTTTCCTTCTTTTTGAAGGCATCTCAAGGGTCGAATTAAACCCGTTGAGAAGAAACGTACAGTTTTCTGACCTGCATTGGTTTAATGAAGTTCCTCTTTCTACTTTTCTTTACTATATCTCTGACAACAAAGGAGACAGATGGGAAATCTAGGGCGACCTTCCTTTTGTAGGCTGTAAATACGATCATCTGTGGGTGTGACAGGTTCAGACGCACGCACTAGCTGAATCGACCCAAAACGAAGACCTGTAAGGAATAAGGTAGAAGGAAAAAAGGGAAGAAAAGAGGAAAGAAGAATGTAAGAAGTGCTATGAGAGGCCTATGACCCATCTCCTTCATGGCATTGTCCGATCTCCTTTTTATGCCCTCTGGTCCTAAAAAGGACCTCGGTTTCGGGTCAGGAGGTCACCACAAAAGAATTGTTCTTGGGAGAGCCGCTTTTCACTCCTCTCCTTCTGCCTTCACATCCATGGATAGAGGGGGACATTATCCACTGCTAGGGGTTATAAGGTAGTACAGGAGGCAAAGTTACACGAATTTGGAGTTCGTTTCCCCCTCGGGGGTAAAGGCGCCCTCTCGTGAGGTTGGCGCACATGATGGCCGCTTCTCACCTAAGAGGTACATCCAAACAAACTAGAAGTTTGCTATTCGCTTGCTATCAAACCCGTCAGCATACTTTCCTCCTTCTCTTCGTGGAATAATGCACTTAGTTTGATAGTTGAAGGTAGGAAAAGTGCCTCATTCACACCCACTCGATCACACCCTGACGCGATGAATTTTGACATTAGTGGGGCGCTCTGCGCACAAGTTGTTTACTTGTCAGGCAATGAACACATTTTGGGTAGAAAAAAAGCACGACATTAGGAATGAAAATGCTGTCAAGTAGGAGGAACAAAAAATAACTTTTCAAGTGATTGTAAAAATGTAGCAATTTGCATGTTCCCACAAGCGCCGAGTTGAGTGAGTTGACATGATGACACATGTTAAGGAAGAGAGTTTTCCCCAACTGTTGTAGGAAAAATAAGTATCAAAATAATATTTTAAGCCTTCACAAAAATAAATGTTTAAAACTACTGCTTAATATTTTGCCTAAAGAATGTCCGTGTATTTAAAAATAAGTGCGTTTGGAATTTAACTGCATTGGAATTCCTGAAAAGTCTTCTTTGATCCGCACATAAGTAGATAATCTGTCAAAGTTATTTCCTTCTTTATTCTTTCTTTTCCATCTTACTGAGCAGTAAAAATGCATTACATAAAGGCTTTAAACTTAAGGCTATTCTTTGAACTGTTAAATAAAAGCGGTCATTTTAAGAACAGGGGAAATTGACCTTCAAAACAAAGAGGAGAAAATATGAATAGAATTAAATGAAAATAAGGCATTTGTTTTTCACCAGCACAACATTTTTAAAATTACTTGCAGTCAGATATATGGGATGGGGGTTTTCGGGCCACCCCAAATCGGTCCACCAGGTTTCTGTGTACCTCGATGAAACGACTTCCTACGACCTCATGGTGCCTGGTATGCACCATTCCAGCAGTAAAGTGGTGGGCTTTTGTAGTCTCTAGCAGGCCGCCTGCTCCTTTTGGCTGAACAAACGCGGTGGATGAGACACAAGCTCGTCTGCTTTGCCTAGCGAATTTAAGTCGGTTTTATTGGGGAGGGGAGATTCTCCTCTGTACTTTTGTGTACGGCATTGAGACAGAATACAGTGGCAGAACACCACACCGTCTCAAATAATTGGTTAAAGATGAAGCTCCACTTCTTCCTCTCCTTCAAAATTCGTTACTTGTCACTGTTTTCGCGCTCAGGTCATTCATTCTTTCATTTAATCAACGATGAACATGCCAAGGGCATTGTTCTAGGTCAGACAGTGGCTGGTCGGCATCTAGATCAAGTGGGAAGGGAGCGTCGTGGTGGCATGTGCTTATCATGTGTCTGCCACGGACTCTACACCAACAGATGGCAATAACCCTCCAGGGCAAGCGGCTTGTTTTCCGTTTTTTTCTGCATACCTAATGAAAACGTGCATTTTTCGATTGTCTACTGACTAAAATGACTGACTTGTAGTGAAAAACGGTTTCTGTATTTCAATAGTGGTTAGGTGAGGGAAAATACCTTCTTTCCTGCACGAATCACCCACTTCTATGCCACGCAACACTTCCCATTTCTTTGTGTGTGTGTGTGTGGTGGGTGGGTGGGACGCGGCAGACACGACTATTCACCCCATATTCTCCTTTATCCGAAGGCCAAATACACCACTGCCTGTGAAGTACCACGGAGGCGTCGGAAAGGCGAAGAGCCGGGAGTCGGAGTCAGCGAGGTAAAAAAGCAAAGAGGCCATCTTCTTCCACCAGGCCGCTTGAGACCGCATGCCGCGAAGCAGATGCATAAGTTATTCTGGGCTTTAGCTAGAATGCGAAAGAGGCAGTAGGAGGGAGAGGAAGGGAGAAAGAGGACGGGAGGCAGATGCTGCCTCCTCATCATCCTAGGTGATAATTATCGCCTTTACTATTCCCGATTGTTTGATAATAGACAACCAATGGAAAATTAAAAACGGCAAAAAGAAATGGAGGTGGAGTGGACTGGATTGGACTGCTTTTGGCTTCCAGAGGGGAAATAAACAGAAAATCAGAATTGGCGGCTAATTTGTTTCTCATTTGTGCTCATCCGGGGGTGCTGCGGTGACGCTGGATGACAGCGGCGACAAAACACCGCATCTATCCATTTAATTCCTCTCTAGGTGCTTGAGAAGTCACCTGAAACAACTCCTTTATATTTACATTTAATGTATAAAAATAAAAAGACAAAAAGGGGAGATTTGAGGGGGAGAGAGGGGAGTTTCCTGTCCCGAAAAATGTGACATACACGATTAGCCGAAATCTCGTTCTTTTAACTTAGAGGCACCCATTTCCGTCAAACCACCACCACATTTTAGGGAGGAGACTTGGCTACTCGGAAATCACATCCCTCCTTTTTTTAGAGCTTGAATTATCCTAGGTGTTGGACTGAAAAGTTGATTATGCCAAAGTCAGACTACTGTATTTACGAAAACAAATTGCTAAAAAATATCTAAATTTTTAGTCAGTGGTTTAATTTCCTTTACGTATTTTAAATAGCGAGTCAAAGAATTGAGTGGTATGAGCCAACTGGCGGTGCAGGGCCCTACAGCCGCATTGAATCGACAAGTTGAATTGTGTGCTGCCGTGTTGAAGTTCATTAAAACAAACCCACAGTCACAGTTAGTTTTAGCACGTTTTTGCATAAGATTAACCCAATCTTTCAATATTATTTCTGCAAAAATTCCCTAAAATTGAAGAAAACCTTACTAGGCACACGTTTCGGCTCAATAAACACCAAGACAACACAAGTCAAGCAGAGGGGAAACAGCTAGACCCAACCACATTGGTTGCACATTCCAACTGTCTCATTCCCCTCTCCTGGAGTCAGGGCATGGTTGACTAAAGGGAGAAAGTGATGAGCACTTGGGACAGCATGCGGAAAATACGGGGATTTGAGGCGGCATCGGCCGATCCAACCAGAGACGCAAAATCATTCTACTTGGATATTTTTGTAACAGAACAGGGTACTGTAAAGCCCTCCCTCTTGTGCATCGCATACGGCGGTTTGTTTGGATTTCTGATAAGAGGGGGATATTTGCGTCCTCTCTGTTCCACCCACCCACGCAAACACAATAAAAATGGGGAATGATATTCGAGAGACTAAAGGTAGAAGAGATTTGTGGTGATAGCTCAAGAAAGCCTGCACTTAAACTTCCTCGTCGTCGACTTTTTTCCCCAACTTGTACAGTGAAGTAGCTTTGGCAACCATTCCTACTTAAGTGTCCCTTTTAGTGGAATCGCGTGTGCGTATTTTGACTGCATGTGACTCCGCATCATTTCGTGCCCTCACTCTTAGTTACGCGACTCCCAGATAAACATCATATCCGAGCGCGGGGTAGACACAAGGCGCCTCTCTTCCTTCTGACTACGGCAACTTTTTTATGCCCGGACAAGAAAATGCATTACAAAGCACTTGTTTTAATTTGCAGTCTTTTGGCGCGGATATGGAATGTGCCCGTGCGCTAATTCTTCCCGAAATAGAGACGCCGCAGCAAATGCACTCTAGTCGCTGGAACCGTTGCTGAATTCATGATAAGTAGTATGGAGGAATATGCAACTTGTCATCGGATAAAAGGCCTGGTCTGGCGACCATTAGTCTGATATGATGTTTTTACCTTGAAGCGGTCGCACAACCAACGGAGACCGAGGAGTCCGCGTGAATAAACGCGCGTTTAAGCAAAGCACGGTGTCCATAAGATATTAAACCGATCTGGGGGTCTTTTAAAATGTAAAGTTTAAATATCTTTTCCTTAAAATCATTAACTGTTTTCCACTAAATTACTTGCTTTAGACTACAAAAACCCTAATTTAGCCAACTGAAACAAGGCGTTCGGGCAGCCGTTGGTGCCGAAGCAAAGAAGGGTTTCGTATTTTTTGACATCTACACAGCCTCTAGTCAACTATATGCAAGGCAGAAGGGAGAATAGGCATGTTTCTTCTTTTATAAATAACCGTGCTCTTGGTTTTTTATTTCCAAAAAGTAGAACAGTGGCTACTTTTTTGAGGCTCACCAATGCCTCACTGTTGAGCTTTAGTTGGCCAAAAAAACCGCACCGACTTTTTGAGAGGGCTTTCTCTGTCTGTCCTGTTGCCTTTAGGACATGAGGGTATGCGAAGACAAAAAACTATGACAATCACTGTCAAAAGTGTGCATTGTCTAAGGCATTGCGGTGGGGAGTGGGTGCACACGCGCTGCAGTATTTTACCTTGAGAGTAAATGACTGTCACAAAGCGCATTTTTCTTTCCTTTTTTGACTTTTTCCAACGTATATGCATAGTAGACACTTATAAATTGGCGGTAGATCCACAGCTGGATAAAACAAAAGATTTCCAGCGCCTTGTGTAATGTTGTTCTCAGGAAAAGGGAAACGCTCCTCCACTTTGATTAAACGACAAGAATTTGATGTAAGTAGTATGGTACATATTGTTTAAGAAGTTTTAAATTAGATCACTTCTAATTCTGAGGCCGCGGATACATCTAAAGTAGGGGATTTATTTAAATGAACTGAAGGCTCTCCCAACTGGCGTCAGATATTTGCTTGCCTGGAAGCACGAATTCAGGCTTCCTCCGGAAGTAGCGGAGATAATTTTCCTTTTCCGCCTCCGGTCACCCGGGCATCTTTTTTTTCACTGGTATGACAAAGAGAAAGGTCATTTGGTATTCGCCTTAAATAAAGCGAAAGGTACTGAAAGTCCTACTGATATCGTTTATGCCGTTATAAGGAGCAATTTATGGGATGTGCCAAAAAATAAGTAAAGCTACATCGTAGCATTAGGTGGAGTTTTTACAAAGTCCACCTTTTATCTACCTGATTATTTTTGAGACCATTGAAGTCTTCTGCAGACAGCATTGGATGGATCTAAAAGAGATTCAAAAAATGACAAATTTTATGGAATGACCTTAAGGGTGTCAGCTATATCTCATCACGCCAACATTATTATGACCTTCAAGTGGGTTAGTCAAGAGCTTATGGGCTATGAGATGCTACCATTCACTTTATGCTAAGCCTACTCGAGAAGTTTGAAGGCCAGTAAGAAAAGTGGCACGAGTCGAGCTCCACACATGGTCCAGTCGTGGGGCGGAGGGGCCCGTGAGATTTAGTGGGTTTACAGTAGCGACGAATAAAGGCGGACAAAATGAATAGTTTATGATTTGATTGCGTATCGGCAAAATCAACCGGGTGGAATATTTTTTTCTCGAAACTGTACAATGTAGCCGCGATTTGCATGGGCGGGGGATTTGTAAAGTTGGGGAGGGGCGTAATAAATCTCAATTTTGGATTGGACCTGTGTCACATGGGTGTTGCCCGTCAATTACATGGCTCCACGAACCTAGGAGTGTGAAAGTGTGCCTTGTCCGTAGATGACTGAGAAGGCGGAAAGAATTTCATTAGCCCAATCACAAACTGTTCAAATTTTTTCTTGTCTAGTTGACTGTACTACAAATAGGAGTGAAAGGTGAGTGGGAAGCTTGACAAGTCCAATTGTCAACCTTATTTAAAAGAAACAAAAGCTTATGGAGGTCTATTTATAACGATTTCCAGCCTAGAGCAGCAAAACACCTTGACGTAATCAAGGTGATCATGCCATGAAGGTGTGACATTGCTGCTTGGACAGATACGAATTCATAGTGATAGGGGGGGGTGAGTCAGTATGACAAGTTTCAAGCCCTTAGCCATGATTGCTTTTGGAAAGGTGGACCTTCTTGCAACCTCTCGACTTGTATCTTACCAAGAAGGACAGACTCCCGCCGCAGATATGGGGTAGGAAATTTAGCCGACGAATCGTCGGAAATAATAGCGGAAGTGGTACACCACACACATACATTAGGTGAGGAATTCCAAGGTCGAAGGGTTTGCTAGTTATGGTATTTGATTTACGGGGATGTAAACCATTTACTTTCCCCACAAAGTTGCCCTTGACTAATACTAAGAACGACATTTAAAGGAAGGAGAGAGCCTTTCCACTGTATGTAATTTTAAAATTTTTATAATTTGTGCCCAAATTCCTCACCGATGTTGTAGGAAGCTTCTTCGACTCTGAAATCCAAGTCGAATCGCATCAGGTTGAATAAACTGACGGTTTAAGGTAGACCAGTGCATGTACCAGCTTTCTGACCTGAATTTTGCTGTAATTTACAATAACTTGTCAGCTTTGACATCTAATACCTTAGAATGAAAGTATAGAACTAGTAAAAGTTCATCGCCATCAGTATGTCATTTTATTGCTTTTCCCCTCAACAAGATAAGATCTTCAAACAAGTTGATGAGGTCTGTTCCTTCCTAACGTCTTTGAGTGTACAGCTAGGCAAAGTAAACAGTTTTGCGCATTTAGAGAGCGATTTACCATTTCCCTTTACACCCTTTAAAAGTTAATGTGCCAACGCCGACATTAATAAAGCATAAGAATGCTGCTCTTTGGGTTTTTTTAAGTTGCTAACATGCAAATTAAATTGGTGTCTTTAAGGCACGTCCTTCTTGACTTAACTCTCGGTAAATCATATTCGGAAGGGCAAAAATTGCACGAAAATTTTCGCACTTTAAGGCTACCTGTTGTTTAATTACTTAAGTGGATGGAGTGAATGTGTTGCGGTGGCATGGCCAGGAAAAGAAGAAACTGAAATGTCCGAAATGCACCGTCCACGAAGGGGGAGAAGGGCAAGAGTACGCAGAGGGAAAAGTTTCATTTCCAGGTTTTCTGTTCGTTTCAGTAAAAAAATGTTTGCTGCAGTGCAAATACTTTGCTTTACTAGTTCTTCTACTTGACGAATTCAACAGCTTCTAAGGAATTAACTTGGAAGAAAGCAGAAAATCCCACATTTGTACACCACAAGATTTGTTGGGAATAGAGGCATTATAGACTAAGAAAAGTACTACTTTTATTTCTTTTTTCCCCCAATTTTTTGACATTAAACCCGGGCGGGAAAATTGGGTAGCAGTGCAAATGTCACATCGGTAGTGAACATGCTGCAATAGATAAAGAAACGAAATTAGTTCTTAGCTAACTAGACAACATAATTATTAAATGATCAAATTTTCCTTGACTAAAAAACTTGCTTTTTGTTTTAATTTTGTGTTTGTAGGGAGCACACATCCAACTTTCTCATTGCGAGTTTTGTCATCCCCTCTGCTTCGTAGACACGCTCTGAGATGGGCAAGATAATCTCAACACGCTTGACAATACTTGATTGTTTATATGCTTTTTAGGAGCGTCTAATCATATAGGGTAACATAAATGGCGGGATTCAGCTCCGCATTATCTGATAGAGGACGCGAGGGACGGGGGGGGGGGGGTAGGAAAATGACATAATCCTATATTACTGCGTTTGACAGCTTTAAGGCTAGACAACGACGTGTAATAGTGAACCTACGTTACCTGTGCAAGAGTTGCGGACAGGGATCGTCTCACCAAGGCGTGCTTCAAAAGTAGTCTCCAGTGGAATTTTCACTTAAGCGTGCCGTAGATATGACTCTTTTTTTACTTGAAGGAACATATACCACTTACTTAAAGAGGGTCGCAAACATTTGCGACATTATAGGTGAAATGGCCTATACTTACACGGGTAAAAGAACAGCAGTAAATACAGAGTAAATTATTGCTCTAAAGGTGAGGTGAACTACAAATTAGCGGAGTAACGTAAGTTTGGGCCGTATGGTGCACTCAAACAAATTCGCTACATGTAACAAAGTGGTTAATTTTGTTTAGCTATCCTGAATTGCAGCTACATTATTTTAAGGCAAAAAAACAAACCATAAAATAGAAACAAACGTTTTTATAAGGGTATACGAAATGGAATTAAGGTGATGCACTTTGGAAGTGTAATTTGCTTGTTGAGGTGTTTATCGCTAAAATCCTCTTCATTTTGCCATTATAATGCAACTTTGCTAAACTACGATATTTTTAAAGAGTTTACGTATCCTAAAGCACAAAACCACTTCTCGATTGCCTGCGTTTCTCACCTAGTTTCACTTTTGACTATCTTATTACCACCTTTTTGGTTGGCCAATGAATCCAAAAATCGGGCAATATAGTCAGTGAAGATGCCTAAGAAGGTAAGCGTAAGCCCTAAAGTATAATTCCTGGTTGTTACTAAGACTAAAAAACCTTTCCTTCTCAAGGTGACACGGCGCCCACCTATGAGCAATCTAACTTCAGACCACTTGTACGGGCAGCTTTTGCATGGGCTTCAAAATGTCAGGAGAGGTAGAAGTGGAGGCACTTATAGAGACTGAGGATTTATAACGCAGACGTGGGTGGAAAAGTTAGAAATTGCTCTTACACGGGGCAAATCGCACCAAATTTTTAGTCACTGCACCTTATTTATGCGTATTTAATGAGCACAAAAATGTTAGGTTTTCCCATCGCGAGTCAGCCATGTCATAAACAAGTGCCGTGAGGTGTCAAAACAACCCAAGGACATGCGGAAAGTTGGATTTGGGTTTACATCGCCAAGGTTTATACTTCGCAGACTTAAACAACTGAGGCATCTGGCGCCAATTTAAGCAAGGAAAATTAGCAAATTTTTTATCTAAAGAACTTGGCTTACCGTTTAAACTGGTTGGTGGGGCTAAAATTACAAATTTTTATTGAGTTTAGTTGTTCAAATCGCTAGGTCCTTTTTATTTCCATTTTATATTTGGCCCGTCACATAAAGACCCAAAAATCGCCCATCAAAGTACCTTCCTCTACCTTTTTAACAAAAAAACCGCATGTCTAGTATTAAACTGATGAGCCATTGTGATTTCAACATTTTTAAAGATCGGAACCCTCGGTTAGTCGGGCTACTCGGCTGTAACTGGACTCAGTGTACTCGAAATATGCGTCAAAGTCCACCTTCAACGCTGTCACCAGTGTGGTAGTGGAAGTTCCCTAAAACGTCGGGCATTTATGTAAGAGGGCAATGCTAGCCTCCTCCAAGGTAATTAGTGGCGTCCGCTCAGCTGAGAGGTTGGCGCAGTGTGATACTTGTCCCTAAAGGCCGCGCTTAAGCAGACATCCCATACGGCACTTAACGCGCGATTAGAAAGTATTTCCTAGTTACTTTGAAGTCTCTGTATGACCCATACGATTTCCTATATGCCTGTCTACACGGGACGCGCCAGTCAGTCGGCAAGCCTATCCTTTCTTGAGTTTTTTATCAAATTTCCACCCATTTTGCATGAGGAGAGGAAGGGGAGAGAGGCACTGGCGCTTCCTCTTCCATACGACCCCATAGTGTTATTTATTAGAGTGTTTGCCATTGTTCTTAGCGCATCATTACCCATGCCAACCAGGCAGTAACAGAAGGTGGTTGAGGCGCGATTTAGTGCTTCCATCGGACTGGAAAAATTGATAAATATTTGTCACTTTTGACGAGGGTGATAGACTGTTGTAGTGTTTTTGTTTGTACTTTTTCTTAACAAACAAAATAAAGTGCTTTCTTGAGTCAACTAGTATAGCGAAAGCCTAAACCGTACTGTCGAAATTGTCAACTAAAGGTCAAACACAGAAGTCACTCCCTTGCTGGAGTGTGCAGATAAGTGGGTAACCCATTTCCACTCCATGGCTCAACTCAATTGTAATACGCAAAAAAATGTTTGCAACCACACAAATTTTGTTTTAATTGACAGAAATAAGCCGTTTTGTAGTAGCCACGAAAATTCAAGCCTCAATCTCCTGCCTTCCCCTTCTTCTTCATCTTCTTCTTCTTCTTCTTCTTCTTCTTCTTCTTCTCCTTCTTCTCCTTCTTCTCCTCCTTCTTCTCCTTCAATACTTTCGATGGTCAAGCGACTGTTAGGGAAGATGATTTATGAATGGAGACGCCATTACTTCTCGTTTAATCCGCCGCTTTTCGTTATTATTTGTGTGGCAATTCAAAAAGCAGAAAATAATTCAAACAAAAATAAGGCGGAAGTTGACAGATTAGGCCATTAAATGAAACTGTCGGGTCTGTCGCTGTCAACGTGGGAGATGCTTCCACGAGAGCAAAGATTTGCAAAGAAGCACCTTCAAATGAGGCAAAAAATTTACTTCGCAGCTTCAAAATCGGTTTCTCCTACCCATTTTTATTCTGCCGAATTACCTCTCATTTGGGTTAATCTACGCGTTTTATTATCCATCATGATAGGTACAGCGCAGGGTAGAGTGACATATTTTTTGAAAAAAGTGCAAAATTTATTATATTTTTAGGATGAGTTAGCGGCTGGCTAAAAAAGGGAAAAAAATGCACATTTTTTAACAACTTGTACCTCGTTTAAATACACCCTGTGCATAGCGACACTTTTAAGTACTCATTTTTCCACTCTATAGTTGAGCATCTTTTCAGCAGATTTGCGATAATTTTGGCAAATCAAAAAGGGAGGAAAAAGAGTTTTTTTACCCAATTAAGGATTAAAAATACCAAAGGCAGTTTTTAGTTAATAAATTTAAAACGCGTCTTTTCACGTAGGGGTAATGAGTGAACACAATTACTAAAAGAAAAAATTTTTGACTTCATTAATAATTTACTTTGGGAAAAAATTAAGAAAACAGCCCAACTATTAACTCTCAGTTGCTCTAACTACAAAAAACCAATAATTGTTGAAGATTTTGGTTTAGTGAAATGCTACTTAATTGCTTGACGGTTTTGAGTAGCAAGGTTGGGCTAGTACTTCATCAAACATTTGGAGAAGCGTAGCAAGATTTTTTTGTTCATAAAGCAGAATTTAACTTAAAATTCGTACAATATGGAGATAACCTAGTAGGTGCGAAATTATGCTTGTCGACTATACGAATCGTGTTTGCGTTCGTGGTGATGAGAGTGTTGCCTTTTTCTTGACAAAAAATGTCTATAATTCCTTTGCATCTGTTGTAACTACTCCTTCTTGAGGCAAAACTGTCAACAAGTTCCTTACCGGACTGAAATTCCATCAAATGCTTCATTCAGTCTGCTTTATCTTCAATTGCACAGAAGTCTGCGCGTCGAAGATTCTTACCAATTCCGCGGATCTAAAATCCAAATACACCGCCAGTCTGACGACACTTTCAAAAGTTTACTTACATTTTTAGGAGCCCCTGGAATTTCTTCGTCGATGGTCCTACTTCCAGGCGGTGTGGAGGTCAGCTCTCTCAGGAACTCCCCTACCTGAACCTTTAGAGGAGACGGGATCTTTAGGAGCTCTTTCACATCAGCGTCATTGCTCTCCCACTCTTCCACCATATTCCACAGCATCTTCCTTGGCTGCATCCGTATCAGCATCATTATCAAATTCCACTTCCACAAGTCGCAATCCCCGCACCTATCAGCCCGTCTGTCTGCGCCTCCTTGCACGACGTGCTGTGAGGGGTTACGTTGCCCGGGCTGAGATGACACGTCGACATGGCGCGTCAGCAGCATTAACACCGCCTTTAACGGTGCCAGCATTGCAACGATTCTTGGGATACTTTCACAACCTGCAACACATGCTGGGTGCGCCACTGCCAGCGGCTCTACAGATCCTTCTGTCCACCACGACCACCGCTGCGAATGCTAATATCTCGATATTGCGAGCCAGTGAGGACCCCAATCCGCCAAGGAGCTGCCCATCTAAAGATGAAGTACTGTAAAATTAACCTCTCACTCACTTCACTTTTAGTGAATCTGAAAAAGGGAGGTCCTCATATCGAGCTAAATGTATTTTTCCTCAGGCAAATAAAGAGGCGTTAAAAGGCGCGCTTCGTCTCCAACTTTTTCCCACCTCCATGTAACCGCACTGGGTGTCTCACCATCCTTCACAAGACCCACCATATTTGAAAACTAATTTGAGTATTTTTGCTGAAAAGTAGACGAGAAATTATCTAGTTAATCATTTGTTTACAGTCTATTTAAAGAGCTCATTTTAACCGCTAGGTCAAGGACTCCTGGGAGGGTATCCAGTCTCCAAATCGACATTAATTAGAGAATATTTTTACGTAGGCGGCCTCCCTGGAGAAAGAGGAATTGTTCGGATTGATTGCCTACCTAAAAGGCTTCATTGGACTAATATCCGTGTTTTTCGCCGCCCCTGGCATCCAATCTCTGAGGTGCCAAAGTCATTTTGGCAGTGATTTCAATGTTAAAAATATGATTTTTTTTATGGCTTATGAAGTGTACTTTATCTTTTTTTAGAGAAATGACAAGAAGAGAGCAGCTACTACAGTAATCTTGTTGTCTAATCCCTCCGGCTTGGATTTCAGACCCCCTGGATCTAGGAGAGTGGCTAGAGAAAGACATATAGGGGGATTGGGTGGTCGGGATCGGTTCCTCTACAGAGCGGCCATGCCTTTGACTTAATCTGACTATTTTTCATCTAAAAGGTTAATTCAAGCAAACATGCTATACTGAGAAGACTTCTATTTGCTTTCCTGATCGAAGCAAAGTCTAGGATGAGACCTTGTAAGCTCCACTTCCTTTTTTGGGCATCTAATGGAATTTAAAAGTGCTTTGTCAATTAGGAGGCAATCGACAGGCCCTTTTTCACCCTTCTCAAAGTACGTGTAACTTTCTACAAACGGTCAGCCCACTGATCGCCATTAGTGGTTATACTAACTCCTGAGGGGTTCCACGATAAAGCTGAATTATCTCTCTGGGGAACCAAAATAAGTTTCTTATTTTTTAAAAAAAAATACTGTAATTAACACTGAATACATATTGAACTAAATTTACATGTTTTTTTCTTCAATGCCTTACCATTTCCTCCTTACCTCCCCTGGCCTAGATGAACACATTAACTACTGATAAACCTTTTCAGTAGTTTAAACGAAAGGAAGGGGGAAAAATTGCATCATTGTTCTGAATGACTACTCATTTACTACCAAAAAGTATAATTATTAAGAAAGGATTAGAGCCAGAACTTAGTGCAGTAATTTGAGGGGATCTGTGAATTGTATGCATTGGTGGGTCTGTATCAAATGGAAAGGTCTGTGCGTTGAATGATTGACAGGGGAAGAGAAAGGGCGAACGAACGTACCATTGGTTAACCTCAAAATCCAGTACCCACCCACCCTCTGCCTACGCTTCTAAGACTCGCAATGCCTCATGCTCTAATGTCTCAGGCTGCTCTGTGTGTGTTGTGGATACGGACTTCTTGACAAGGGTTGATTTGTTGGAGGCCAAAGAGCAAATACAACAGTGATCTACGTGCTGGCTGCAGCTAAGGCCCTCTTCAGAGACAGTCAGAAGAAGGTCCTTTAATTGCAATACAAGGCAAGATTTAGTTAAGTTTATACCATTTTCAGTAGGAAGTTAAGCCCGTTTTGTCCGGCAGTCAAGCAGGAATCTTGCCAAATTTGCAGACCGACACGTGAAGCAGGCAAAGTAGCGGAAGGGACAGTACGAGCGACTTAGGTATTTCTATATTCTTTAAAGCACACCTGGCATGGTTTATGCAAGTCGTTAGTGCTCAGCACATCGCCAAATCTACTATTTGGAGGTGACAGAGGCTCTAGCCAAAACACTAGCCTTATTAACGTACTTCCTCTCAAGCCAACCAATCGGATGATGGCGAGAAGGGCAGCGGCAGTCCTAGGCGCGTAGTAGACGCCCTCATTTTCGGTCATTTTTATCTGTCCACAAGTCCTGTGTCTCTGGCGGAAGAGGCGGCGACATAACAAATAGACCACTTCTGAGCTAGGCGTTTTGGATTTTCTCTTCCTCCAACCAGCGTCTCATCCTTCCGCCTCAGGATGACTGGTTTAAGGAAGAGAGTTTGCGATTTTACAGATATCTCAAGCAGTAGGAGAGGGTCAGAGTTTATACCCTCCCTCTCCAGCGCCTTCTTGGGGATCGATGACGCTGTCTCAGATGCTGGAGTTGGTCCATTCTGTCCGCCTGCCACCTAGAGGGTGTATTTAAAATTAGTCCAAAAAGTGGTAAACAGCCACCTCTTAAGGAGCATAAGAAAAAACCAGCATTACAGGTAAAAACCCACTGCGTCTTAAAATGGAGCTGCAGAAGGGGTGGAGAAAGGAAAAATGCAAAGAGAGATTCATGTTGAGGTCGTAGAAGCATATTGTTGTCCGCTTTTATAACCACATTCCTTAATGGTTCTAAACGTCACCGATCTCCGGTTTGAAAAGTAGAAAAGTTACTCCAGCAGGATGGAATGCGGCTCTCCCTCTGGGTCTGTGCACTCCGTAGGAAGTCATACCAGTGTGGAAGAGGATAGCGCCTTATCGAAGAGGAGAGGTGAGACGCTCTAGGCATGGCCGACATGTCCAGCTAAAGTGGAATCTATTTTAACAGTCCTTCGGGCACTTTTCTCAGTGCATTCTCCACCGCTTCCATCAGAAAGAACTCATTCCATTGCAATCCTTGTGAACTACTTTAGAAGGCGTGATTTCACTCCCCTCGACCTAGCTAAGGCTTGAGAAGGAGGAATCCGAGAAAGACGGCGTCGAGGAGTGCATACCCTGCGACTCTCTTTTTTAGTCTCCATTCACTCCATAAAGACTTGGGAGAAAGTGGAAATTTTCTAATTATCCAAGCATGATGTCACTAATTATTAATAGTCTGCTTGACAAACATGCGAGAGGACTAATTGCCTGCCCAATCAACGGACGCCATTCCGAGTAGGCAAGAGACGAGACCTCAGAACAGATGTCTACAGCTCCGACCTCCTGACCTTCCACGCGCCTATCGACTACTAGACTGATGGAATACTGCAGTCATAAAATGATCTCGGTGGATTCGTCTTGACCTTGTAATAGCCAAAGTGTCACTTTATACGGCTGACCAATCAGCAACCTGGAAGTACTCCACCCTCCAGTACCTACTACTTATTCCAGCGATGGCGGAGCTATACTTTGTTCCACTATTGAACCTTCGATGACTTTGTCAGGAAGTTACATTCAATTTGTAAAGCAGACGGCCTAGAATCACGACTACCAAAAGGCCTTCCACAAGCGCAACACATTCCCACGCCTTCTTGCGGTGGACTGCGCCCGCATAACTGTTTATGCGTCCTGCTCCATAAAGCGTAGATTTGTGACATTCTCTCAGTACAGTGCTCTTTTATTGCCTTCCGGACTTTTTTTGTCACCTCATTAATTGCAAACACGTACTTGATGGACATGATTCGAGTTTGCCTACCTTGGAGGAGGAGAGAGGGGGGCTTAAAGCTCCCCTTCGAAGCTAATGAAGCCCATCATCAATTGCGGTGACAGGGCGCATCACCATGACGTGTTTTCTGGTGATAAAATCGCTCGGTGATGAACTCAGCAGGTTGTGTAAGAAGTAATAGGAGAAGAGGAGGAGGAGAGAGTCCCTATCCATTAAAAGGACTCGTGATTGATGCATCAAGGACTTTTAGTAGTACTTGACGTGAACGATGAATGCAATCCTAGAAAGTGCGCATTAGTGAGAGGAAAGGAGGGATAGGAGGAAAGGGGAGGGTAAATTCGTGGGAGATACTAAACAGCCCAATTGCTACATGTCAGGACCCTTGGAAGACTGCAAATCTGCCCTTCATTTGCTGCAGGTAAGACGATCCCCACCGCTCACCACCAGGCTGTATACCAACTGACTCGATTACTCACTTGTTAAAGGTCAAATGCCAACTCAAAAGTTGGCAAAGTATGCAGAAATCTTCCACAAAATCAACTACAAACTATAAATTTTGAAGCCTATACCCATGAGTTATGACTCCTTGCCCCCATCCGTGCTCGTCTCAGTCAGCGATTATCGCCGCCGTTGACATCCAACCACCGAACTTGGACGATCTAAATATCCTTGCTAGGAGGATGATAAGAGGGCATTGAGATAGATAACCAAGCAACTTTGAAAGCTACCGTTCATGGTGTATTCTACTAAAAAAATCTACCCGTAGACAATTATCTCTACAAAGTGGCTAACCAGAGCGATGATGTATTGAATTGGGCACTGGAACTGGGGTTAGCTACCTACTAATCTAAAGAGAAAATTGGCTTCTGCACATTCCATCCCTCTAGTAGATTGACAGCATTGTTTAATTGTTTGGTTAACTACCTGGAGTTTTCTTTGATCTTCGCGAATTGGCTTTTACCCCTGTGGGGAAACTTTTGTCAGCTGCCTCGACCTCCCATCCTCCTCTTTTGTCGATATCACTGTTTTTTCGGCTACTTTTCTTTTATAAAAGTGTTTAATATAAAGTACTTTATTATTTATTTAATACAGAGAAGTATTAGTTGCATAGGTTTTATCATCCCTCCTGGACAGTGTTGCAAGCATATTCTCTGGATCCCATTCCATTATAAAGCAGCTCATTCTAGATCACTTACCATAGAAGCAGTATACCGCTGGATTGCTCAGCTACTCCTGAGGTGTTAATGTAGGAGATAAAGAAATTCTGAGTGCATTAAAAGTGTCAAAGAGAAAGAAATAATCTGTGGGTTGTACACTAGGAGCATGAGATTGTCTCCAGTGGTGGATGCGCTGAGTACGATGAACAAAAACCTTCTTGCAAAGACAAAGAATCAGTGAATTAATAAAACAGTGTTCTTTCATCCTGTTTCCATCAAGCACACATCATCCATATATCCGTCCATACATTCATCTGTTCTTTCCTCCATTCATGCCCTATCCATCCGGTTTTTGTCCATCCTGTATCTAA